ACTGTAGGAGTCATTGCGGTGTAAGGAGTGGGCCTTGTTCTGCAGGGTGGTGGTTTCACTGCCTGGTATTAGACAATAGGCAATAAATTGCCATTATCATTCTGGAGGAAGTTAATTTACCGAGATTTTTTAGTATTCAGGTTTCAGTTATGTCTAATATTCGTAAGGTAGAAATCTGTACTATCCCTTAGGCATATAATTTTATAAACATTTGAGGGAGCACCCATTTCAAGTCTTTTTGCCCATAACATACTGGTTTCCTCTTGTTAATTATTGGCATTTCCTGTCATACAGCAGGATCCACAAAAATGTGTACCTGTGACAAATTGCTTAGGATGTGTTGCATTTCATAATGCACATGTTTTCCATCGGTATGTATTATCATATTAAACTGTAAACTGGTGGAAACACCATTCAGATAAAAGTTGAGTAAGCAAGCTGTTGATAGTAACTTAATTATTATTATTGGAGCTTTAATGAAGAAATACATTTATAGTGTTTCCTTTTTATAGAAAATCCTCCTTGCATTTAATGTTAAATTTAAAATATTGTGGAAACTAAGATTTTACCCTCTTTCAGTTGTAATAAATTTGCTTGTTTTGCATATAGAATTCTCCAATTTGCATACATAGTTTCATCAAGGTAGGCATATGTAACATTAAAACTTTTTGGTTAATATTAATACCCTGCACCAAGTGAAAACTATAAAACATGATTAGTATATTGTTGAGTTGTAAGCTGGGAGTAGTGAGGATGCTTAGCATACTCACATATACCTCCACCCAAAAGGTTAATTGGAAAGTTGTGTTGTACTGGTTAATGCTTTGCTCATTTAATTTGTGCAGAACTTAGAGTATTAGGCTCCTGTAATGGTTGATGATGAGTACTGCACATTATTTTTTACCATTGAAATATTCACTCAAGATAAATTTCAAAGAAATAAAATAGTGACAATTCATGAACTGTCTTCAAAGTTCTCCACATCTCAATACTTCACATAAGCTTCATCATTTGCTGGTTTGTATTTCTTTTTCTGAGCATCCCATATATTGTGGTCTGCTTTCACCCAGCTTGCAGTTTATCACTCCTGCAGGGTGTTCTGTGCATTCACACCTCCCAGTGCTTCCATATCTATTCTTCTTTGGCATTTCCTTAATGCTGGTGTGTCACTTGCACACTCTTCTCCTTATTATTCGGCATCTTTCTGCTGCTTCCAATGTTTCTCTTAGGATATTAATGTTATCTCATCTTATAATATTCATTGTTAAAATATTTGTTTTTCCACATTTTTGTTATTTCTTTTTGATCTCTAGTCCACATTCACATCCTAACAGATCCATTTATGCTGCTTCTAGTCTCAGGTATTATGATATAATGCCAACTTAGTTTTCCTCTGTATACATAAGAAAAGTGTGGATAATATCTTTATATAGACCCTGACCCTTGAAAGCTAGCTCTTCCTCTCTCTTTGCTTGTGGCTGTTTCTTTACATTTTTCACTCAACTACTTTCCTCCTCAGCTTTTTCCTGCTTCACCTCAGTCTAAATTATCAATCATAACCTTCAATATTTTCTTTGTAGGGAAAAATGTGTAGCCATTCTAGTTGCACCATAGAGACATTTTTTTTCCATTTGTTATGAAACTCCTTGATGGAAGCTTTTAACATGCGTAACAACTTTTGTTTTTAATCTGTAACACCCTGAATTCTTTTATTGCTTGCGTTCTAATTCTTTTCTAATGAGGAATGAAAGAACTTGGTGTACAATGAAAGACAAAAGTTGTGTTGTTAAATTTGGTGGAAACATTTGCCAACGGGCTAAACTTTTGGTGCGCACTGCCTTGTGGTAGGGGGCTCTCATAATGTTTCAAGAAATATATTTAATCTTCGGACAAAACCGCGACACGACTTTTGTCTTTGATTGTGCAAGAGTCCCTCCTGAAAGACCTGCATTTGTTACATAGATAACAAGGATCCGGTTTATTTTTTACTTGCTGCATACGTTTAGTTGTCGTTGACCATCCCGTTCGTTCTCTTCAGACACTGCATGAGAGCCTGTGTTGTCTTCACTTCTTAATCATCTCCATTTTTGTTGTCATTTACAGAAGAATCTTTTTATTTACCTTTTCTTGGCCACCTGTATTTGTCCATTTTGCTCCTCCTCTGAAGTTATGACCTTTCACATCCCCCCCTCTCTCCTCCTCACTCATCTAATATATATGCTCAGTTTCTCTGGCTTAGCTTTAAATTGTATGTCTTCAAACAATTTTTTCTCCATATCTTAAAGTATTCATCTTGTTTTAATTTGTTTATTGTATATCTCTTTTAACCACTTGTGTGTGGGGACCCTCTTCTGCTGAATAAAATGATCTACCATTTGCCAAATAAAATTAAAAGTGACATCCCTGTAGTGAAAGTGTTATGCTCTTTATCCATAAAGCTAAGTGCCCTGTTTTATTCCCAGGCCCTTGTTTGCCATTCTCTCACCTTGTTTAGAACTCTATCATTAATGCATAAAAGGTTTCATTATATCCCCTCTGAACTTTCATTCCTCCTTCCCAAATAGTTTCCCCAACCATTCTTTTGAATTGGATGCAGATCTTATAATTATTTCTACTCGTGTAACTTAGATTCTTTGTTCCAAAAATTGACTGTCACTCAGGTTTGTAACCTACCAGTCTGCTGAGCTCACCCTTCACATCTGATCTTTACAAGATACTTGCCCAGTGCTAGTCCTTTGTTGTGTATAAGTTTGCTCCTATCATTCCTTTGCTTCTATCATTCCTTTGCTTCATTCTATAAAATTTATATATCATGTATCGGATAAATGGTCAGTACAGTAAACCCCCTTTAACATGGACTTTTGCCTATTTGGTCTTGACTGTACAGTTTTTTGAGAGAAATCCTGAAACTATAAATATGAAAATTCTTAAATTTCCAATATGTAGCAAAATTTAGACCATACCCACATAATGTGGAAAGTGTTGGTATTATAAATTAGATCAAATATTAATCTAATGTTTACTGGGGTCACTATATGTGATGGTCACATGTTCATGTGGGATGAGGTTCTATTTGCGGGTTGCTGCATGCTTGAGCCAGTCCTTTATTACCTATAACATGCTGTAGAGCTTGTGTACTATGGTACTCTTCTTTTTTATTCCTCGTCTTTTCTCTTCTTGCCCAATACAGTATTTCATCGTCTTGACAATTTTAAGTTGTAGTAATGGTAGTGCAAGGCCAAAACCAATGCATAACCATAAAAACAATGCTGATAAACTGAAGTAGCTTTCACTTGTTATGCCTTGGCGATGTGGCTGTAGACAAGCTTGCTCATAAGATTTTAGCTTTTGCACCATATGGTTAATGTTAAGTCAGTGTATTTGTTTTTCATGTGTATTAGAACATGGAAGCAGTGAGGTATTATAAATGTTGGTAAAATGAATGTAGATTTGTAATTAAAGTTTTGGTTAATAGTTTTATTTTGTGCCCTGGAAAATTCAGACACCACCACTCCACCCCCTGAGTTGGACCTGGATTAACAGGGAATCACTGTACAGGAATTGCACTTTAGAACATGTGTCTTTGCGTGGGATAGTCTTACACATAGTTTTAGCAGTTGGGGTTCATCTTGCCTCCATTTAACCATATTTCTTGCATACTTATCCACTGCCCTTCATTCCTCCCCCTTTATATGACAACTCTACTTTTTTTCTGGGTCCTATCACTTGCTGGCTTTCTCATCTTCCTGTTTAGTCTTGTGGCTTCACTATCTTAAATGCTTTAATATATACAGGGGTGTACTGTATATTTCATTTCCTCTACTCCTTCCACTACCTTTCTTACAGCATCTGTAAAGCATATCATCCTCACCTAAAACATAACATTGTATTAAAAAGTCCTCTTATCCCTGTTTAGCAGAATAAGCATGGCTACATCAAAAATATTGCATCAGAACATGGCAATACATGTAAACATGGCATCTCTTGCACAGGTTTCTTAGGAAAAGTTAAAATTATGTACATTTGTACATGTATGTTTATATATTTATATTAATAATGTTAGGTAGTTAGATTCATGGAAGGGCAGAAGATTCAGTTGTGTGTACAATAGGAGTGGTAATGGTTAAAAAGTAAAACTGGGGATGAGTTTCGAGCTTATATGAGTTATTTGCAATATTGACTCCTGCTGCGCTGTATGTTAAAGTGTCCGCCTATGTTTTAAGATGGCCCCCCCACACCCGGTGAGTGAGAAGTAGAGGTGGACGGGAGAGGCCGGGAGGTTACCAAGAACACCCGGACGTACCCCTGCCGTCCCACACTGTCCCAGGGGGCCGGCCCGTCCCACCCAGCTGGACCGAGGGCCTGACCAATATTCTGCGTAGCATGAGTTACGCCCACATTAGGGTATAACTACTTGCTGTTGCCTTCATACATGATTATATCATCAGTGGTTTGAGAAAGTCCCTTTCTTTGCTTTCCTTATTTCCTCCTTGGTTATTGTTTGTATGAATGCTTGCTCTAGTTCCGTGTTGTAGCTGAAGCATCATCTCCTTAACACTTAGCCTTCCCATTAAGCCAGGCACACAAGTCAGTTGTCATTCTAGAGCAAGGGGGCAGCATGTTGGTGATTGGTCAGTCAGAAGCTCCTGCCGGGGGACAAGCCCACCCAGCAGTATGGAAGGCTCTTTACAGGAAGGCAGGGAAGCTGACACAGTGCATGATTGTAAATGCCAGATACCTCTTCATCTCTCTCAGGATATTATTCACTGAGAAAGCTACAGTGAATCTATAACTTAGGTAGGAGTCATGAGAGAGGAGTCCCTAACTGAGACAGTGACCTTCTCCTGTTGTGATTTATATACACTGTTGATTCATTAGTTTAGCCCCTTCATTTAGGTTTTCATTTCAATTTCTGGTAGCAAGCTAGAAATGGAAATTTTTAATATGTGAATTACAGGGGTACGGTGTTAATTATTTTGATTTCTCTCAATTTACTTCAGGATCTCAAGGATTACATGCGTAAAGCAGGAGAAATTACATTTGCTGATGCACACAAACATCGTCGTTATGAAGGGTAAGACTTTTCCCTCCCATTATTACCTTACAGTACACAAAATGCATTTTTAAACGTTGTATGTGACACTATTTTCTGAAGAGTAAGATGTGTTTGTGTGTACAGTATATATATATATATATATATATATATATATATATATATTATATATATTATATATATATATATATATATATATATATATATATATATATATATATATATATATATATATATATATATATATATATATATATATATATATATATATATATATATATATATATGGTATATAAATTATTTTTTGTGAATCTTTTTAGTGTTGTGGAGTTTGCAACTCGTTCAGATATGAAGAGGGCCATTGAGAAATTAGATGACACTGAACTTAATGGTCGACGTATTCGCCTGATTGAGGACCGGCAGCAGCATTCTCGTTCAAGATCACGGTCTCGTCGTCGAACAAGGACAAGGTCACGGTCACGGTCCAGGAGGTCCCGATCGCGCTCCAGGTAAAGTTGAAGCTGTGTGCAGTACTTTGTCATATTACTGTAGTTTTAAGTTAGTGAAACAGTTTTTCAGCAGCAACATTTTCTCAGTGCCTTTTGCAGTTGTATACAGTACTTGGCAAAATATCTTCCAAACTCCACTCATTGCACTTACTACTGTCCACTGTAAATAATCCTGCAAAAATTTACTCCACTTTACTCTCTTATTTACATTTTTAATCTTGCTTTTGGCTTTTTTCTCCTTTGTATAGTACAGTAGGGTTGTGTTGTATGAGATAGGGATGGAGAAAACCATACAATATCAGATTACCTTATAACTTGACATTTTTCAGTGTTAAAAGGGGGTTAGGGTCCAGAGGCGCAAAAATACATCACTTAAATAAAGGTATTCCTCATTTAACATGAGAGATGCATTCTTAAAAAGCTTTGTACTGGACAAATTCATGCTAGACGAATCCAGAAAACCATTGAAAGCAATGGAGAAGATAAGAAATGTGTGTTGGAAGGAAAGAAAAAGCATACAAGGTCAGGTTATAGGATTGCAGTCCCAAAACATATCTTAAAAAGTTCCATCAGACACCACGTTTTCTCACTTCATCACTTAATTCCATTATTTCAAATGCATCCTAGACTGCACTTGTTCAACCTCAAGGTGTCTGATAGAGCAATGGAACTCTTGAATGTCAGAATGAATGTCATGAACCATACATTTGTGCTGTTGGTAGTCTTATTACGGAAACAACATTATTGTATCGTTGATCTACAATATGTCGTGTCTCGACCAGTCAAATTGGCAAGACCACGCCAGAGAAATACGCGGGATAATGACAGGCAAATGTACCAGAAGCAGTGGCTTTGCATTACCACTGCAGTTTCATGCAATTGTCACTGCTGGATTTCAACAAACTATATTCCTATGAGTTTTATATTGTTTGACCATATCATGTCTTGCCCTAATGTACAATAATCCTGTGTTTTTCGCGGGAATTACGTTCCTGAAACCTCTGCGAAAAGCCAAAACCGTGAATACTCTTTATGGAATCACTGTACCTGTGGCCACCAAACAGCTCAGGTAGGTCATGCACCTAACCACGCCATGCTTTCCACTCATGGCCCAGTGGTCATACTGATCACTGATGCAATGTACCGGCATTTATTAACATCATTATTTGAAACTAATCATATTGTAGTATAATTATGGAAAAACGTAAACACAGTTATATCCAAAAAAAAATTTATGTACAAGTAAATAAAAAAATATATATTTCACTGAGGTTGGCAACACCCGCATTGCCAGCCTCTACCTGCTGTCCCGGCGTCTGCCTGCCCTCACACAGTCACGCCAGCCAGCCAGTCCTCTTCCACCCACATTCCTCCACTTGAAGACTTGTATTCTGACAAAATACACAAATGAATTGTCAGTCTTCACCACATCTCGAGCCATAGCTCACACCACCTCTGAGCTTGTCCAATAAAACTGTTTTTTCCGTTAAGGTCATAACTATTCTTGATTGCTTGGTCACTTTAGAGTCATTGTTAGTAATATTTGCCTTTGATGAGGCTGGCTTCCGTCCCGGAGCCATGTGGAATGCATCTGGGAGGACAAACAGAAGAGGTAATCACAGTAGAGTTCATAGTACGGTAGGCACGTGCTTTTCGGAGCAGCTGGTGTCTGAGGCGGGAAAGGGTGGCGTCTGTTTGCCGCACCGCACGGGAATATCGAAAATGGCGTGGAATTAAGTAATTTTGGGGGGATATTTTATATATACCTGTATATAATTTTTTTATTTTTTTTTTTTAGTAAAAAAAAAACGCGAATGGTCAAAACCGCGGAAAAATACCAGCGAAAAACACGGGATTACTGTAACTACTTTAGTGTCTACTGTAGTTAATTTGTCAGCTCATCAGCCTGGTTGGGATCATTGATGATGCTGGCATTAAGAAATTTAAACCTCTTAAATCAAGTTTTGGTTCATTATTTGCTCCCCTAATCTGTTTTATATTGGAAATTAAACATTTTGCAATGTAAGGAAACTTTATTTTCTAGCAGCACTTATTTATTAGCTACATTCCTCATAATAATTGTACTGAGTCTCCTTTCGTTAGTACTGTACTATGCAGTATTCCATTCTTTGCTTACTCCTGAAAGCCTTAATATCTTGTTTGTTTTGTTCTGTTAAATGTCTCGCCTTGTCCTGGCTAGCATGAGCTATAATCATGACTTGTTTGTGTTTTCACTTTTATGTTCATCCAGCAATGTGATATACAGCATTTTGAGAAATCTCATTGTAAGTTTAACTACATTGTTGAATTATTGTTTCTACAGTGTTTTGGTCAGTAGTTAATACAGCATTTTTTCTGGGCAGTATATCCAAACCTGTAATCATTAATTATTTTATTTGTGAATTTTCATTCACAGATCACGTTCCAGAAGTCGCTCTCGTTCAAGAGGTTCACGAAGATCACGTTCAAGGTCAAGGGATTCCCGATCCCGTTCACGATCCCGTTCACGCTCCCGTACTCATTCACGGACTCCTCGTTCTCGATCGCGTTCCAAATCACGCTCCCGGTCCAGATCAAAATCCAAGTAAGTAAACTTACTTTCCTATGATTACATAAGATGCAAGATCATTTGTGTGTGTACAAGTGCATACCTATCTTATCTTCTTGCCTTGGCATGAAAAAATGGTAATACGTACAGTTCAGTAGAATACTGTATATATTGGCATAAACATACATTATACAGTACAGGTATTGTACTTTATAATTCTTGCAACTAAATTCCTTAATTTTTTGGTGAAACTTGGAAGGAATTTTCTTTACCAAACCGTAATATCTTTGATGGGATTACATTTCAATCACCACTGACTATTGACCAGAATATTGAAAATTTCCCGATGCACTAAATCATCTTAGAACCAGAAAATTGTTCTAAATTGCTGTATCTTGTGTTGCAAATAAGATTTATTGTGTTGTAGTTGTCAAACAAAGGATCTGATGCATCTCCAAAAAACTTTCTTGATTAATTCACTATCTTTATTGGGCTTACATTTTGCAGTCACATGACTCATAAAGTGACAAAAGTTAATGCCTTTTGTTCTCTCTATTGGTTTGGCATAGTTAATATATACCAGTATTACAAATTAATTATCCTAATCTTTCATCGTGGTAAAAATTATCCCATTCCACACATAATGAAATTGATAGATTCATTATTCTTGACGATAAATAGTTAGTGAAGTGCACTGTCAAATCATTTACTTTTTGACTGGCTGAGCAAAAATTTTAAAGTGAAATTCAATACTTGAGTACTGTCCAGGATATATTTTGGTCAATTTATGGATACTTTGTTAAACATGCAGTATACGTCATTTCTTAATAGACTTTGAAATAAGATATGCAAAGAAAAAGTTGTGTTGAAGATTCAGGCACATTTATATTAGTGCAGTTAAAGCATGTAGTATTAGGTACCCATTATCTAGATATTACTTGATTTATATAACCTTTATTGATTATTATGCCTAAATAGTAACTGATTAACTATCCTCTTACAGTGATATAAAAAGAGAACGTGGTAGTCGTTCAAGATCTGGCTCACACAAGAGGTCAGTAGAACCTGATATCAAAAAGGATGATGATCAAATCCGAAAGGACTCTCACAGTCGCTCAAGATCTAGATCACGCTCGCCTATAAAGGTTAAAGAAGCAGCTTCAAGGTCACGTTCAAGGTCGGCCTCACGCTCACCTCGACCTCGAGACAGTCATTCACGATCACAGTCTCCTCAAGAGAATGGACATGACCAACCCGAGGATGAGTAACAACTAAGTTAGTGCTTATGTAAAAATCATTGATAACATCAGCACTAAGCTGATAATTTTATTAGAAATTATAAGGAGCCTCTTGTGTGTATGGAGATAGCATTAAAGATTTAAACCTGTAATTTTTTATGGAAACACTCGTGTATCAAGAACACTGAAGGCATATACCGATTTGATTTACTGGTATCCCGTTATGGTGATAATTGTGTGTGATTGATATAATTGCACTGTTTGAGGGTAGACTTGGTATTAAGCAATCCTTGCCATTTAAGTATAAACAGTGTGGTTGTTACTTCTATGTATATTTTTTCTTTTCTTCATGAAGAAACCACAATGGTGTTTGAAATTTAATATTTTTGCATACTCAATGAGTATTATTTGCTGTATTTTTATAGATAATGTACTAAAGAACAAGGATGCCCTCTTTATTCTATTTATTTTTATTTTTGTTTTGTTTGTTTTTACCCCTTAATATTCAAGTGTAGATATGTTCAAGAGAAATGCATTGGGATATTGAAGTTAAGTTTACTATTCGGATTGTATCAGCTATGGTTTGCTAAAAAAGAAAATAGTACAAATAACATCTTTCTGGCATTTTTGTGTGGAAATTTGTTGGCAAATTATTTGTATATCCATAATGTAATAGTATCAAACTTGGTAAGGAGTAGAAACACTTGGCAGATTGTCATGTTATTTAGTGTTGTGGGTTACAGGTAATTAAAGTAAAAATTTTGTACAATACTGGAAATAATTCTTAATTATTTCAGAAAAGTTTCTAATTTTGTTTTGTTCTTATTCTGATATTTGATTGTATGTATCTATGTGGTTATATGCTAGCAAGGCATTTAAGGATTGTCTGATACCTGTATCTGAACATAATACGTAAGATGGCTCGGCCAAATGCAGTGATATCCCCGTTAGCCGGAACAGTTGGTGCAGACCTCTTCCGGGAATTAGATATTTCCGGGTAACGAGACGACTCTCAAAACCGGAAAAATCCCCCATCCCTGGAATTTTTCCAAGTATTGTACTGGAAAATGTTTCTCAGAATTTTCTAGAAATTTTGCATTATTTCATCCTTGGAATTTGCTCCCAGGCCCAGAAATTTTTTTGGGAGATTTCCGGAATTTATCTTGTAATTTTCAGAAAATGCTCCTGATTTTGCGTCTCGGAATTTGTTGTTGTACTTGGAAAATTGGAAATAGTTTCCGGAATTTCCATAAATTGGGCTTGATTTGAAAACCTCCAAACCTGTATTTGAGATAAATTTTCCGGAAAAATCCCGAGCAAATTTCAGTTCCGGCTAACGGAGATACTACTGTTGACTTAAGATAAAAATTTACTATAATGATAAGGTGGAAGCAATATGTGGTTTTGGAACCAAAGTACAGTATGTATACAGTATACTATATATATATATATATATATATATATATATATATATATATTTTATTTTATTTTTTCTGACAATATACCAAGTGTTGACGTTCCTGTTGTGATTACACTGGATTCTCTTGTAGCCATTGATTTATGGCCATTTTGAATTCTTGAATAAAACATAGATGTTATCAAAGCTGACCTAATTATAACATTCATAATTTATAAACCCAAATGTAAGACTGTTTGTTGGAGAATAGAGATCCTGGTGAGTGCCAAGGTCATCATCAGCAAACAGCCTGTGAGTCACCTCCCATATCATTATTCACTAAACTTGCACACCTCATTTATTCTTCCTTAGTCTCTTATTACCCTTTCTATGAACATTAACCCATACCCAAGTAAATACTGTACTGTATGTAACACTGTATACATGGCCTCTGCTTGAAATAGTATGTGATCTTTTTTTGTACAGTATTTCCCTCTGCATTTCAAAGAAATTTTTGGATGTGTACAACTTCAGTGAACAATATCTCGGGACAGAAAAAATTATTTAATTCAGCAAGTCAAGAGGCCTTGGATAAATAGCATGCACCTTCTCCTTGAAATATTTCTGCTTAGCTTTTATTTCAGCGTTTAATTTGTTCAGTTATTGTCATGAATTTCTGTACATTTTGGGTGATATTTTGCTGTGTTAAAAGGATTCTCCCAATCTGATTATCATGGGTGTGGTAGAAAGTTCTTTACCAGTGAAAGGGTTAGTACATGTATCCATTGTTCAGCAATCGTTTTCTTAGCGATTTAAAATTTAAAACTCCCGTTGTTTTAACGATCTGCCATTTTCAGTTTAGCAATCTTAGACTTCCTAGGAAAAATTTGGGAGGGAAGTCTGAAAAACTGGGGATTCTGTGCTCCAAGTGTGCATCATTAAACTGTAATGTGGCGTAGAAATAAAGAAAGTACTGTCCTGTATACAGTAGAGTATAGTACATTATTTTATAGTATACAGTACAGGGGGTCCCCAAGTTACAAACACCTACCTATTCGAACTGGGTCCCATAAGGTCATTTATTTTAAGAATCCGACATAGTTAGAACTGGTTTGTAATATTAACATACGAGAACTAGTTGTTTGGCGTAGCAGCAGGTGAGGAGTAATGCGTCACGCAGCTAAGCGCCTTGAGGGAGCGTCGGTACACCTTGCCCGGTACACCTTGCCCTCACCTCGGTAACATGTAGTGCAAACTGTTGTTTTTTCTTATTAGCTATTTTTCTACCCTCACCATGGCTCCCAAATGCAAACATGATGCACGTGACAGTATTGCATCCAAGAAAAAGAATACAATTATAATGGAAGTGAGTCAATATAATTAATCATTCAGAAAAAGGCAAAACTCCCTCAGTCATTGGTAAAGCATTGGGATTCGATTGGTCAACGATCAGAACACTTTAAAAACATAAATAAAAAATTCATGAGCATGTAACGGCCGAAGGGTCCACCTGAGGGCTTCCCTGTTGACCGAATTGAAGGCCTTGGTTAGGTTGAATGAAAGCCATGTATAGGTCACGACGCTGTTCACTGCACTTTTCCTGTAGCTGGCGGGCAGTAAAGATCATGTCACTGGTGCCACTTGATGGTCTAAAGCCACATGAGATTCTGGGAGGAAGTTTTCCGCCGCAGGAAGTAGTCTGTTTAGGAGGCTCTACACCAATGCACTCAACTGTGAACAAAACAAAAGTGGATTGTTAATTTAAATGGAAAGGTTGTTAGTGATATGGGTGGAAGATCAGCCAGCCCGAGGTTTCAATGTACACCCACATCTCGTTTTACACGCCTTTCATTTAAGCGTCTGGAATAATGTGTTTGTTCAATTAACATCTGTTCCTAATTTACATGCAACTATTTTTTAAATAACGCGGTTTAAATTTGCCGCTTGGCAGCGGAGTTGCATGTGATGGCTGGTGAGGTGGTTGTTAGTATTACTGTAAAATTAGTCATATCAACATCAATGATTTTAATTTTAATAATAATTATTATAATGTAAAAATAAAGATTATTACTGCTTATGTTGATGAAGATAAAAGATAATGGTGCTAATGAAATATACAGTTCTGCACAACAACTGTTGGCTATAACACGATTCCTTCCTCAACGTTTTAAGCGTGGCGTGGGGTTATGTAATGTATACAGTTCATGTTCGACATCACGTTCAATTGATTCGTGTGTTTTGTTTGTGAAGTGTTTTTTGAGAGGTAATCAGTAAATGTCGTTCTTTTTTTGCAAAATTAGCTGTTACTCATAAATACTGTATGAAAAACATTTGTAAAAAGAATGTTTCGCAGTGCGGGCTAATAACGGTTTACACCAGCGCTCTCTGTCCTTGATTTTTGCTGTTTTCTCCAATTTTGTTGTGTTAGCCATGAATATAGAAAGACAAGGTAAGAAGAATGCTTCCAACAATCGCAATGGACGTCAAGTCAGATGTTATCACTCGCCTTCAGAGTGGAGAGCGTGTCAGATGTGAAGACATTAGAGTTGTGTATCTTCCACCGAATATGACATCCCTCATTCAACCTATGGTTCAAGGAGTGAAATGTACTTTTGGCTATGCAGTGCTATGAAGAAATCCTGGGAGAAAAGAAAATGAAACCCATCCAAAAGTCATTTCTCTCATATTTCAAGAAATCTGACAAGAATGCACCTCAGTAGCCTCCCTGCCCTACCCCACCTTTGTCAAACAGAAGTTGCCAGTCATCAATGTAAGTGTTATTTAAGATGTATTTACTAGTGTTTTTCTTTATGAATGAGTAAGGTAAAAGATATTTATTGTGAGTTACCCTGTACGGTATATGATGGTTTCCCTAACCTGTACCATTTACTTGTATTCTTATGGGAAAAATGTGCTTAATTTACGCGTTTTTTAATTAAGCGGTGATTTTCAAGAACCTAACCCCCATGTAAAACGAGAGGTGGGTGTACAATGTGTTAAACTTTCATTTTTACTTTCTTTTACTGTAGTTTGTAATTAAATTTTTTTTCTCTTAAATTCAAGTGATTTAAGATGTATCTAAGGACATAGAGTATGTGTTCCGACTTACGGTATTTTGTGGCATAGAAGACGCACCCTGATTTTGAAAGTGTAATTCTCGGAATTTTTTTTTATACCTAATAACCGACACCAGTGAAACCGTTGCTTGATATACAGCCCTTTTGGCACAAGTACACACACCTTTTTGAATATCATCACTTAGAATTGCTTATCAGTTGCCATTTTCATCAATTTAAAAAAAATCTAAGAAGTGGAAATCTTTAATACAGCACTCATTTAATACATCTGCTCACCTCGTCTAGCGGGCTGTAGTGTTTACATTCTTTCAATTGTTTTTGTCGGTATGACAACGACGGGAAATATTTTCCAACAGTAGAAGGTAAGCAAATGTAAATTGTATATCATCGTCTAAAAGAAAAAAAATCTTTATTTAAAAAAAATAAATAAAAGTAAAAAAGCAACTCGGTAAAAATTATTGAATTAAAAATTTTGGTGTGAAGAAACAAAAATTCCTGCACTTTGAGACCAGCTGACAATCTTTCGCAATTCCCCAATAGATGGCGCTGCCGCACCACTGCCATTAGTTAAACCGCACAGCAGCAAGGGTTGTGTAGCTGCAGCCGTTTATTTTTTACCCACTGAGTAAGTAAATAATCTTATTTTTTGCAGTATATCAACAATATTAGTTAAATCAATTGTTTTATAATATTGTATAGAGAATACTTATAATTGCTTAGTGCTGTAATGAGGTAACAGTCTTTGTAAGGGGCTGACTTCAGTTGACTCTAGAAAATCTGTGCTACAACCCATCAACTAGCGTCGTGGAAGACGCATGGTAATTTTCAAGGTATATTTTTGTAATAAAAAGTGCGTCTTATATGCCGTAAAATACAGTACTTACATTCCCAACCTAAGAACGTTCTCTGGAACGGAACTCGTTTGTGACCCTGGGTAACACGGTAAAAGAAAATTAAAATTACATAAACAGTATCTACCCAAAATTACAAGTTGAACGATAACATACCGTAGCTCACAGTTCAGCCTCGCACGCTCTTGTGTGCTAATGGGGGGCAAATCGGCAACTCTGGTTCACAATTACGTGCCATCGCCAGAGATATTATTCCTCATTATCCCTTGTCTATGATATTTCTTGTTTCTGTTCCCTTAGTGATCTGTTTTTCAGGAATGCATCACAGTTGCTAAACTACGAATACCTGTACTGTAATGGTTAACCCAAAGACTACCGAGGCCTGAATTTGTCAAAGGTGTAGAAACTCGCCATCATGCCACCTTCATATTGTCACACCAATTGACCATCAAAGGGGGATGGCCAGGAGCATTGTCCAACAGCAGCAGCGATATGTTGTACAGGTTATGGCAGCACTTATACTTGGTGACGAAATGGAGAAGTATTAAAAAATGCAGTCATGGGTGATGGGCTTCGTCACCCACGCCTTTGGGTTGGACTGCCAGATAACAGGAAGCTGTCTCTTCACACATCCCTTCAGGACATGATGGTTTGTTGAGGTAGGAGTCATTCCTTCAATTGGCAGTTTTAATCTCGAACCTCTTCCATTTTGTGCAGGACCGTCGAGGATTAGGTGGGTTAGCCTGTTCACTTTCGCTGATGCATTATGGGTCGTCTTACTCGTGTATGCAGACGATCATCAACATGGGAGTTTTAGTACCATTAACCCTTAAGCCCCGGGTTAGGGTGCTGCTGGCAGTAATCCCCCACGGGGGTAAATTGAGAAAAGATCAACTTTTCCAATAATAAAAATAGGCAGAAGTTCTGGAACGTCACCCGGGGCCTAAGGGTTAACTGGCGAGGAAAAAAAAAATTAATTTCCAGTCAAAAACTTATTACAAAGCTGCTATAAAATTTATTAATTTATCTTAAATGTGCTTTCTTTATTAGTATATGTCGCATAAAGTTTAGTGATGATGTCCTGCCCGTGAAGCTTGGCTCCATCCATTGTAAGATTTCTTGCCCATTTTTATTTTACAGATAAAAACTCCCAAAACTGCAAAAACTTCTGATTAAATTATCTTAAATGTGCTTACCTGCATAGTATCACCATTTGTGAGATGACACTACTCCAGCAGCTGAACGAGCTTGCATTTGGCAGTAAAACAAAATAC